TTTACACACTATTCAGTTTGTTTTTAAATGGAATAATTTTCAGATTAATACTTAAATATCTTGAGGTTACATGGGGCCAAAGCTCAAGCATGGCATAAAACTAAGGTGTAGGTATTAGGTAGTTTGTGATTCAGTGGAATGTACTTCCTCAACATTCCTAACCGAGAGCATTCCTAACTGATAAGGTACTGACAGGAGTGCCAGATAAAAGCCTCCAAATTTCTAATTTCTGTTTTGGCTCACAAGAAGAACAGCAAGAAAAATCAAGGTGCAGTTGCACTGAATCTGAACCAAGACAGAAAGAGGTATGCTAGATACTTTAAACAATTGTTTTTGACAGAGTATTTGCGTTCACGTGACTGAATGTTCAACTTGGCAAGCAAGAAAGTTGCTTTGCCAGTTTTCTAGCTTGCCCTTCTGGATAGGGCAAGCTGGACTTAATTAGCATGTTTAAATGCAGTAAAGTGGAAGAAATCTGAGGTCCATCACTCAAAATTATCAACAACCAGTGATTTAGAATCCACTCTTGTAGCCATACCCTGTGTATTAAATTTAATCAGTCCCTGGAGAGGACTGGAACTGAGCTACATTTTTAAGAGTAGTTTAAACAAACAACACCCAGCTTTAAAATTTGGAATTGTTTGATATGGTAACTTGTTAGGAACTCATCTTTATTTAAAAATTGCTCAGGTTATTTTAAAAAGTCAATTTTAATTGTACAAAATGCATAAGATTGTGGGTGAACTACAACTCACATCATGCCAAGTTAACCCCAAAAAGTTCCATCAGTACTTAAAGTTCGTTATGTTGGACAAGTTTGCTGTAGGTCCATCATTACTGGGGTTCAGTGTGCTCTCTGGCAGTAGGGTAAACTACAACTCCCACCATGGTGAGTCAGTCCCATCAAACCCATCCAGTAAGTAGAGTTACCTGTGTGCCAGGTTTGGTCCAGGTCCATCATAGGTGGAGGTCACAGTTTCTCTGGTTGTGGGTGAGCTACAACTCCCAAAAGGAGAACTATAAATCCCAGTACCTACAATTCCAAAATGTCCAGGCCAATTCCCCTAAAAGCCCACCAGTATTCAAATTTGGGCATATCGAGTATGTATGCCAAGTTTAGTCCAGATCCATCATTGTTTGGATTCATAGTGCACTCTGGATGTAAATGAACTACAACTCCTATAAATCCCTTCAAAGACCTTCAGTATTTTTTGTTGGTCATGGGGATTCTGTGTACCAAGTTAGTTCCAGGTCCATTGTTGGTGGAGTTCAGAGTGCTCTTAGATTGCAGGTGAACGATACATTCCAGTACCTACAACTCCTATAAATTAGGGTGAATTTCCCCCAAAATCTCTATAGTATGTTCAATTCCTGATCATTTCCTCTGCTGTGTGGCATAGAAAAGAATAGGAAAGGGTTAAGGGAGAGGCAGTGGGTGGAGTCATGGAAATTCCACACCAATGGAGAGAGTAAGAAACACTGGGGTGTCTGTGGTGGAGGAAACACATGAAATCTAGGGTAAAACTCTCCCCTGTGAAAGCCTTCACTCGGGTTGTGGGCAGTATTATGTTTGTGAAGGACATTGGCAGTGCTCTTGTACATGTTCATGGCACTCATTATAACCTGAAATGTTATTGGAGGGAGGGCTATTAGTGTCTCCTGAGTAGTGGGAACTATAGCTGTTTGTGGAGGCAGGAGCTTGTCTGTGTAAGTGCACAGCTCAATCACATACACACATATCTTCACTTTTATTATGTCTATAGATGTGTACCATCAGATTCTACAACCTTTGGGTTTTTTATTTATTTTTCCATTGTCTAAGTCGTTTGTCATTAGACACCATTGTGATATAAAGTCATAGAATTATAGATTGATAGAGTTGGAAGACACCACAAGGGCCATCCAGTACAATCCCATGCCATGCAGGTGCACACAATCAAACCACTCCTGACAGATGGCCATCCAGCCTCTACTTATAAAGCTCCAGAGAAGGCGATTCCACCACACTTCGAGGCAACATCATCCACTGTCGAATAGCTCCTACTGTCAGGAAGTTCTTCCTAATGTTTAGGTGGAATTTTTCCCTGTGCGATTTGAATCCATTGCTCTGTGGAATGGAGCAGAAAACAAGTTCGCCCTCTCATCTATCTGGCATCTTTTCTAATATTTAAACACAGCTACCATTTCGTTCAAGATAAATATACCCAGCTCTCTCAGCCATTTCTCATAGGGCTTGGTTTCCAAACCTTTGATCATTTTGGTCACCCATATCTGGACATGTTCTATCCTGGTAACTGACCACTGACATTGTGTTCAGTACCTTAATGTTTGATCTAAAGCCCAGAGCAGTCTCAATCCCTCACAAACACAGAAACCACAAACACCATCAGTTGGTTATTCTGCCTAGTCATAAGCAGAAATGGCATTAGAATCTGATCAAATGTTGCTCTCTTGGAATATCGTACCAGGGAGAAGTTTGCAGTGGCTCTTGAATATATGTCCTTCTCACATCTTTAAACCAAACAAATAAAGTGAGAAATCCTTCATTTCTCAGAAAGTGAGGTGTCTTTGACTTTCCTAGATAGCACACTAAATAAGGATTTATTTTATTTATTTATCGTGTCATCCGCAATCAGGACATTGTATTACATTTCTAACAGAACAAAACAAACAAACAGATTTTTTTTAAAAAACCACAAATTTTGCAAACTTGGTAACTGATTAAATGTCCTTTGACCAGTATCTGGCCACTTGGAGTGCCTCTGGTGTTGCCGCAAGAAGGTCCTCCATTGTGCATGTGGCAGGGCTCAGGTTGCATTGCAGCAGGTGGTCAGTGGTTTGCTCTTCTCCACACTTGCATGTCGTGGATTCAACTTTGTAGCCCCATTTCTGAAGGTTGGCTCTGCATCTCGTTGTGCCAAAGCGCAGTCTGTTCAGCGCCTTCCAAGTCGCCCAGTCTTCTGTATGCCCAGGGGGGAGTCTCTCATCTGGTATCACCCACGGATTGAGGTGCTGGGTTTGAGCCTGCCACTTTTGAACTCTTGCTTGCTGAGGTTTTCCAGCGAGTGTCTCTGTAGATCTAAGAAAACTATTTCTTGATTTAAGTCGTTGACGTGCTGGCTGATACCCAAACAGGGGATGGGCTGGAGATGTCTCTGCCTTGGTCCTTTCACTATTGGCTAGTGAAAGGACTAAATAAGGATGGTTTATCTGTAGTTGGGGAGAATGTGCGAACTGAAAGTTACTCCCCAAATGTTCAAGTCTTGAGATGGGGAAATATTATCTATATGAGCCTTTAGTTTTTAATTAAGACACACTTCAACTGGATAATCAGGCATTTAAAAAAACTATTTTTCTAAACACAGACGATAGTGTGGTGTGTGTGTGTGTGTGTGTGTGTGTGTGTATGGCTAGTGAAAACAGTTTCTGTTGAAAATCTGCCAGAATAGATATCCTCCAGGCTAGAAACTAAATTGAATTGTCTGGTCTTATTTTCTGACGGTTGAAGCAATATGTGTGGTCTCAGAGAGATTGGTTTTAATGAGCCTTTTCACCAAGTTACATGTTTATGTATATGGTTACGAAAGAGCCAAGGTACTCAGTAGCAACACACCTGCACATGTACTTTTTCCCATCTGATTTTTGGTTTGTTGTTGTTTTTGCACAGCTGCTCGAGATAAAGCCTCCACAATTCAGTTTACAAAATCGTAACACAATAAAGCTTTGTGTAAATTGTTAAAGTAGCAATTGTCTACCTTCCTGTTTGTGGCCCTCTATTAACCCGACTGTTCAAAATGTTTCTTTCCAACTTGATCAGCAGGTGAGAGTAGGTTGCAGTTTTCATCAGGATTCCACTTTAGGGATCAGGCCCATATTTGACTGCTTTGATTAAAACATTTATTTTTCTTTCTTGGAAACTCTTCAAGGACTGGTAGGCACCATTCCATAGATTACCATTTTGAGTAGGACTGCCCTATATCATTCTGATATTGTTGTGTTCCTGCAGAGCTTGGTTCCATGTTTGTGTGTTTTCTGTTTCATGGTGTGTGGCTTCCTCATCCACGAAATAAAATTGACACTGGTGTGATATTCCCGACATTTTGTATGGCGCAACATACTGGTTGTACATGGAGTCAATCCTACTCACCTACATGGGGGGGGGGGGGAGAAGGACCCATCAGTTGGTACATCTGACCGTGGTAAACAAAAATAGCCCCATTCACTTTAGCTTTTATCCATACTTGGCACATCTATGAAGGTTATGGAAGGTATAGAAATTCCTCAGGGGCATTCTGTTGAGAGGGACAGTGATTTAGTGGCAAATAATATTGTGTTTTATGCAAAAGACAATGTGTCAAATCTAAGGTATCAAGGAAAAGCTGGGAAAAGGAAAATCTTGAGATTTTCTGAGTTGTCAGTGTAGACAATACTGAGTTATATGGGCCAACAGGCTGGTTTTGAATAAAACAGCTTCTGATGAATCACCGGAATGATTTTATAGGTTTTTAAAGGTTTTTTTAATTGATGAATTTCATTGAAAATATCACAGACATACATCACAGGCATATGTGTCCTGAAATATGATTAACGACAATTTTAAGGAGTCATTTTTTCCTTAAGTTTTACACACGTTATTTGATGCTGAATAACTCAATGAGTATTGCATAGAAAAAGAAAGGACACATTGATTGCTTGGATTGTACCATCATGTGTTCACAACAAGTTTTGAATGCCGCTCTGCTAGACAGCTCTAACCACAGTGGAAGGGATATAAAACATGTTTGTTTGTTTTGCAATGAACATCGAAATCTTGACTTTCATATTTGTGATTGCCCTGTCTCACAAAACTACACGTAGAGTACTTGGCATTGGGTAGAGAGGGTCATTCTGAAATATTTGTGTCTTTGTGAGATCACAGTAACTAACAATTCTCAAGCAGCAGGACTTATTTTTAGGCTTAGTCCCAGCCTGAAATAAACTGGGAAGCTGAGGAGTGTTCCAATAACATAGAGTAGAACAGAGACAGGAAATAGAGGGTCTTGGGGTAATGAGTTCCAGCCACACTCGAATCAGAGAGCTCGGGAAGGCATTACTTGAGAATAGTTTCTCTATGACTGCCTGGCAATTTTTAGCTTGTTATTTTACCATTAAAAGAGAACACTCTTGCTGCAGATTTCAACTGTGCTACAGAAGCTCCCCCCACTTCCAGAGACCATCTGGCATTATGCATCTCTTGAAGCCTTTTGAATGATATTACTGCCTGTTGATGACTGATCTCTACTTTTTGAAAAAGAAAAAACCAGATGCTTTGAGCTAGGGAGGTGAGGGAAGGCAGTCTGAAGTTTATACAGTTGTAGTATATACACCCAGTGGAAGCGTGTAGAATAAGCCTGCGGGACAATTTTCATATGCAACTATTCAGCTTGCTGGAAGAAGGGAAAGACAAGATGAGAGCAAGAATGATTGTGGTTCTCCAGAACGAAGCTGTGATTGCTCCGAACCCAGGGAAATACAATTGCTGAAATGGGACCAAAGCATGGATAGTGAGATTGATATTTACAAACACTTCACGTGGCTAAAGAGGGTAAGTGACTCTTTGCAGTGTCAATACTTCTAACAAGTTTATGGGTAGAGAAAACAGAACATGTGAAAGTTTCCAGCTTTTGGGGGGAAATGATGGCTTATGGTCTGTATGGAGAGGAGAATGGGGAAATGATCAATCCTCCTTTGTCTCTATAAGAAAGCCAATATGGGGAAGTTTTAAGCAAAATGACCAAGCATGCTTTTAATACTTCAAGTAAAACTACTTTCTAACTTGCTTCTGCTTGGCAATTGATAGGGTTTTTTAAAGTCAGTATGCTGTTTAACTTTCCTAACTTTTGAATATATGGTTATGTTTTAAACAAAAGAAAACTCACTTTAAGACTCATCAGCAACCTACATAGTTTGAGATTTAAGTAATATAATCCCACTTTCTCCAATTAAAGTCAATTTGTGCATTTCATCTTGCATGTAGATCACACTAATTTAATATTGTTCTGAGTAGACTGAACTCAGACAGTAAAAATATGTGAACCAGAATTTCCTTTGATCTTTGAGTTATTTTTTAAATTTCCGTCCCATGGAACTGCCTTTACAGTTGCAGTAACATATCCATACACTATATGATCACAATAATGGAACTAAACTGCAGTGTGCATCTTACATTATCTTTTTACAATAAGTTCTGTATTATTATTATTATTGTAATATTCTATCAACATTCCATATTATTTCTCTCACACTCTGTTAATGGCTGAATTTTGAGTAATTTGGGAGCAAGCACCTTTTTATTTTGGTCTTCATGAAGGTATCTGCATTATTATAACTTATTATTATTATATTTATTTTTCTCCTGCTTTTTCTCTCCATAAGGAAACTCAAAGCAGCTCATAATTAAAAAGATTACAATACAATATAAAATATACAAATATGCAATTATTAAAAAAAACTATTAAGCAGTATTAATATTAAAACTAATCAGGTTAAGTCCATAAAAGTATATAAAATCACAGCAGCCCCTGACATAGCCTTAAACATTTTTCTTCTTTAAAAAGGTTTTAGCCTGCCGCCATTCTGGCTTCCCTGGGTAGGGAGTTCAAGTCAAGGGGCAGCCACTGAGAAGGCCCACTCTCTCGTTACCACCAACCAATCTTGAGATGGAGGTGGGACCGAGAGAAGGACCTTTCCTGAAGATCTCAGGGTCCAGGCAGGTTCATACAAGGGGATGAGGTCAGCCAAATACCCTGGATTTGAACATTCTAGGGCTTTAAAGGTCATCACCAGCACTTTGAATTGTGCCCGGAAAGAGATTGGTAGCCAGTGGAGCTGCTTCAACAGGGGGGCTGTCCGCTCTCTGTAGCCAGTCCCAGTGAGCAACCTAGCTGCAACTCTTTGGAGTCTCCGAGCACTCTTCTGAGGCAGCCCCACATAGAGCTCATTACAGTCATGAAGGCATGTACCACCATGGCCAGATCTGGCATCTCAAGGAACGGGTGCAGTTGGCACACAAGTTTTAATTGTTCAAAGCCCTCCTGGCCACCTCTGACACCTGGGCCTCCAGGTTCGGTGCCAAGTCCAAGAGTACCCCCAACTGCAAATCTGTGTCTTCAGTGGGACTGTGACCCCATCCATCACAGGCTGGATCCTTATTCCCTGCCTTCCCACTAACCAGGAGTACCTGTGTCTTATCTGGATTAAGTTTCAATTTGCTTGCCCTCATCCAACCCATTAGTGATGAGAGACACTAGTTTAGGGTCAGGACAGCTTCCTTGGCTTTAGGTGGAAAAGAGTAGTAGAATTGGTCATAATCTGGATATAGGTGGCACTGAACTCCAAAACTCTGAATGGCCTCTCCCAGTGGTTTTATGTATATGTTAAACAGCATGGGGGACAAAATAGAACCCTGAGGAGGCCCACAGGACAACGGCATGGGGTTAGAACAGGAGTCCTCCAGCACCACCTTCTGGGTAGGGCCCTCCAGGAAGAACTGGAGCCATTGTAAAACAGAGCCTCCCAGTCCCATACCAGCGAGACGACCCAGAAAGATACCATGCGCAGTGGTATCGAAAGCTGCTGCGAGATCCAGAAGAGCCAAGAGGGACACATTCCCCTGTCTAGCTCTCTGCGTAGGTCATCCACCAAGGCGACCAAAACTCTCTCTGTTCCATAGCCAGTCCTGAAACCAGATTGAAATGGATCTAGATAATTCGCATCATTCAGAAATCTCTGGAGTTGAAAGGCCACCACACACTCCAAGAACTTACTCAGAAAGGGAGGTTGGACACAGGTCGATAATTATCCATTATAAAGGGGTTCAGGGGTGGCTTTTTTATATAAGCCTCATAACTGCCTCCTTTAGACAAGTTGGAACTTTACCTTGTTCCAAGGAGGCATTACAGTACAATAGAAAGGAGATCTATCCATCGTGTTCCACTATTATTATTTCTAGTTGGGCATAGGATTGCAGCCTTAGGTCTACAATTTCTGATACCCAAAAGGGCTGGAAATATCACTTCTTAGTGATAACATAATTTTGTGAGCACAATGGAAATGCCCCCTACCCTGCAGAAGAGCCTGGATTCTCATCCTTATTTATATTCTTATAATGGCATAAATTATATCATTCAAATACACGTTATGTCACAACTCAGATGTTCGCTTCTCAGTTAAGTTGTAAGATTCCATATTCACACATCACATTTAATAAATAAATAATTGGTGAACCAGGAGCACAAGAATTGGGACATGCAGTGTTTGTTTTAAATTGAGTTTAGCAGTAGCTGTTAGTTTTCGTTCCCTAAACAAATCTGCTCAAGATGAAATTTCCAGAAAGCCATACTGGGATTGCAAACTAATCTCTGGTTTCCTATCGCAGAGAGGACATTGACACTGTGTAACATTCTTGTGGGAGAACTCATTCTTGAAAGCGCAGGCGTAATTGGGATTATTTCCCAGCACACTTTTTCAAGCATATGTACTCTGGTAAGACAGCCTGTTGCTTCTCTGGTTCTCGTTGTGAGGGAATGGAAGTCTGGTGGAATTCCAGTAGTTGTAAGTAGTTTGTTTTTCTTGGGGTGGGGGGGGGGTATTTTGGTGGAGAGTTTCTGAAAACCACTGCACTGGTTGCAACACTCCTACTTGTAAAGGGGATTCTTAATTAATGGGAATGAGAATATAAATAGTGAGGCAAGGGTGGAGGATAAGAATTCAGAACTGGGGGCAGCAGCTTCATTTCCTCTGTATTCATAAGCTACTTTGATAAATTATGAAACATTTGCAGAATGCTGTATATTAAATTCATTCTTGTACCACATGATCCCTTTGCTGTTACATACTTGGGCACCAACTGTGGTGGAAATATGATATCCTTTGGCTGTTAATAAAAGCCCTGCTTCCTTCTCCAGAGGGGGTGGAGGGAGAGGAAGGAATTGGATTTCTATTGGTTTATATTGACATTGCCCAAAGCAAGCTCTGATTTCACTGAGGAGAGATGTTGGAGTGAATGAATCAAGAGTAATATAAGTTCTGATGCTGCAAGATTAAAGAGTTGTTTCCTGTATTATTTAGAAGTGAGTTTGAATTATACATCTGAAGTAAATGAGTAAATATAAAATTGCTGAAATATAATAGATGTAACAGAGCTTTTAAAACGCTGATGAGATCAGCTACCCTTTGGCTGCTTTACATGAACCAGCTGACAGAGGCATGCAAGATTTCATAAAGCTCATTCAAGCAGATGTCTTTAACAAAACAGTCCTTCCCTGAATCCTTTCCAGCCTCAAAGAGGCTGGTTCAAAGGGCAATGTCAACAGAGGCCCTGACCACGTGGGCGTCTGCTTGGGGTGAGGGGGAGCAGGGATTAAGTAATTGGAGTCAAACAGACAACAACCTCTTTATTCAGAAAGCAAGCACAGAGAAAATAATACTTCTCCCCCCCCCCCCCCGCCCTTATCAAGGAGTCCCTGGTTATAGGCAGAAGAGGGGAAATTATTTGTCTTTAGAAGAGGAGCTTGTGGTGTGAATTATTCTTAAATAGAACTTCCATTCCCCTCATGAATCTTGCATGTACTTTTACCTCTTTTGTTGTAATTCATTTCCATTTGAGAAGTCATGATTTCTAGGAAGCAATTTGAGATCAAATAAAAATAATTTGGCTTAATCCAAACTTAATGCAAAATCATGACTTGTTTTATGTTTGAACTTAAGTCTACCCAAAAATCATGGTTTTTGCAGGAAGGCCCGAACAGGAAGGCCCAATACTTTGAAACTAGGCTTAAAATCACAGTTACATTGGCATTTACTTACATTTACTTACATATTAGTCAAATCATCAATGGGACTATTCGTCAATCTAAATAGGCTGCTGTGTCTCATTGAGATCACAGTAAACTTGTGAAATTGTACCCTGAGGAAACAGGAAAGAAAAGCAGAGAAAACCTACACTATATACCAGTGGTTCTCGATATTCCTAATGCTTCAACCCCTTAATACAGTTCCTCATGTTGTGGTGACCCCCAACCATAAAATTATTTTTGTTGCTACTTCAAAATTGTAATTTTACTATTGTTATGAATTGTCATGTAAATATCTGAAATGCAGGATGTATTTTCATTCACTGGACCAAATTTGGCACAAATACCCGATATGCCCAAATTTGAATACTGGTGTGGTTGACGGGGATTGATTTTGTCATTTGGGAGTTGTTGTTGCTGGGATTTATAGTTCACCTACAATCAAAGAGCATTCTAAACTCCACCAACGATAGAATTGGGCCAAACTTCTCACACAGAACCCCCATGACCAACAGAAAATACTGTGTTTTCTGATGGTCTTTGGTGACCCCTCTGACACTCTCTCGCAACCTCCCCCAGTGGCCCTGACCCTCAGGTTTAGAAAAATATATACTATATTTTGCCACCTTTCGATATCTTACAGCTCAAACTATAGTGAAGGTTTCTTAGAGTACTGAGCCCAAATCACAATTTGACATTAAATCTGAACCCAATTTTATAATATGTCTGACTTACATCAAGTCTGTTTTTC